ACAAAGGCAAGTGCAGGGTCCTGCCCCTGGGGAGGAATAACCCCAGGCACCAGTACAGGCTGGGGGCTGACCTGCTGGAAAGCAGCTCTGCAGAGAAGGACCTGGGAGTGCTGGTGGACCACTAGTTGACCATGAGGCAGCAGTGTGCCCTTGTGGCCAAGAAGGCCAATGGGATCCTGAGGATGCATTAGGCAGAGTGTTGCCAGCAGGTCGAGGGAGGTGATCCTGCCCCTCTACTCAGCCCTGGGGAGGCCTCACCTGGAGTCCTGTGTCCAGTGCTGGGCCCCCCAGTACAAGAGAGACATGGCACTACTGGAGAGAGTCCAGCGGAGGGCGACAAAGATGATGAGGGGACTGGAGCATCTCTCCTATGAAGAAAGGCTGAAGGAGCTGGGCCTGTTCAGCCTGGAGAAGAGAAGACTGAGAGGGGAATCTCATCAATGTCTACAAGTATCTGAAGGGAGGGTGTCAAGAGGATGGGGCCAGACTCTTCTCCGTGGTGCCCAGCAACAGGACAAGAGGCAATGGGCACAAACTGAAACACAGGAAGTTCTATCTGAACATGAGGATGGTGGTTCTTCTCCTAACCTTTCCCCATGTGACGAAAGTTGTGTACTGATGGCTCTTCAGGCAGAGTGAAAATGAACACAAACAAAAGACAAAGTTGGTTTGAATAGCAACTGTTGGTTTGAATAGAATAAGTGGAATTTCTTAATGTTTTCCTCTGTTTTTTTTCTCTTCCACCAACCGGGTCAGTTCACAATGTCCTTTATAATGCTCTTTTATGCCTCAACCTCTTCTTAAAAATCAAAAAAGGGCAAAAATAACATTTTTTCTCTCCCTCCTTCCCCCAACCTTTATCAGCAAGACCATTGACTCTGTAAAATTCTGTTTCATTGTCAGCCTTGTCTTATTACAATCCTTTGAAAGGAGCAGAGGGCAGCAGACACTCTGTACCCCTAGAGGCTGTATTAATGCACATTGTATGTTTTCAGTTAAATCTTGATTGAAGGTAATCAAGACAAAATAAAAAGGAGATAATAACATACCTTATTGTAATGATATCACTATTAAATGTAATGCATTCGCCCATCAACTAACAAGGCACTAACATGTTTGTTAATTAAGTCCTGTGAGTGAGTGAGGGATCAATCCTGAAAAGAATTTGGAACTGATCTCTAGAAAATCTCCATTCAGCCATCAGGGCACCTATCTGCCTGTTTTCCTACCTAAAGCTTGGTTGCAAGGTCAGAGACAAATTGCTTGGGTTACCCCATCCTGGGAAGCCAGCAAATGTGTCACCACAGGGTTGCCTAAAGTTTAGGGGCAGAAGATGAAAGCCAATACTCAAATTGTGGGGAGTTTTGGTATTTTTTGTGTTTTTGTGTTTTTTGTTTTTAGGTAAAATGAAATTGCCTTACTTGAAAAATGCCCAGCACCATTTGCTTCATGTAAAGCACTGGAAAGATTACAAGAATTCATTCCCTCCATTTGTGGCTGGGCCACCAAGGGATGTCCACTGTAATTCTGCATCCTAAGTTCACTACAGAATTGGAGGAGAAAGCAGCAGAATGGCAATATCAAGGTCTAGTGAGGTGGATGTCTTGGCAGAGTTGCTGCTGTTCTCCTCAAGCAGAGGAACTGAGGAGCATGCTGGTTACTTGTTCTCACATCCTATAGCAAAAGATATATTCGTAGAAACCCAGCTGCTCTTTTTCTGATAAGACTGTAGATAGTGGGTCTGTAGGTTGCTCTTCGTGAATGCTAAATAGGTGAGATGCAGCATAAGTGCATGGTTTTGCCCTCAAGTCCCTGGACAACCTTCTCCTCACCTTTGGTTGTGTACTTGGTGGAACCTGCGTATTTCACCTTCTTGTTGGTTTCCTCCGTGTTTTGGTTGTTCCTCCCACTGCTTCTGAGAACAGCCAGTATTACCTCATCTTATTCAAATAGCTTTTTGAACTCACTTGCCTAAGTGTTTTTCTCACTAAATTGCCCAGTATATCACAAAGCAGGGACTTCTTATAAGCAGAGGTTGGAGGTTGCAAGCAGAAATTCAGCAGAGGCAGCTTTTTCCATTTTCCTGTTTTACAAATACAAGAAAATATTCAGTTTGGGGTGAATCATAGCAATGTGCACAGTGCCTTCTCCTGCATCCTTATGTAGGCTGAACTCAAAGAGCTGCAGGCAGAGTAGGTAGGCTATGCAGAGTAAACTGTGAGATCAACACTTCCCTTGCTCATGCTCCCTCTAATCAGATCATCAGTACCTTCTGAGTTTTTTTAACCCTGTTTTCCTAAGAATATAAGACTTATGAGATCACAGCGTCTGTTTGTCTGTGTCCCTCCCCCTGTATCTTTTGAGCACATTGGCCATTATAGATCAGATTTCAAAGGGAGTGGAAGTATCTGACTTGCCCAGAAGGCAGAGTTTGGATAGAAGAGAAGAAACCCAAATTATAGCTTCCATCGAGGGAAAGCCAGGCAGGCCACAGCTGTCACACATGGTGCTCAGCAGTAGGCACCTACAGCAGTCGACACATGTACAACTCTCAGCTGTCCATGGCACAAATTCTCTCTTGCCCAGTGAGGAAGCAGGGGGATATAGAGAAAGGGATTGTAAGGTTGTAGGGAGGAATAGGAGACAACAGAGAAACCCAAAGATAACAAGGGTTCATCAGTTCTGCCCTCTCACCTTTTATTACATAGAATCACTTTTTTCTTACATCTATGTTGTCCAGCTGTCTCCACAGCTGGCTCCCTCATATACCTGCAGAAGATCCTATAGCTACCTCTGTATTATTGCTGCAGACAAAAAGGTTCCTAAAAGGATGAACTGTAGCTATGAAGATATAGAAGGAGCATATTCCTACCTGAACGTCTTTGGAAAAATAACTGGAGTGCGTTGGAGCAAAAGATCAGTGCAGTAATAGCTAGGAGTGGGCCTTTGCACTGCAAATTGACAGTCTGCAGACTAAGGAGGAGGCAGAGGCAGTAACAGTTTTTCTTTTTGGTTCGACTGTTTTTGTTTACCATGAAGTCTTCCAGGGTAAGCAAAAGCCTGTAAATCACTTTAAACACTGAAAAATCTGTGAGTGCCAAGTATGATGTGACAATCCACTTCTCATCAGTAGCAGAAACTGATGATGATAATGAATATCAATTTTTTTATAACCAAACCTTTTAGAAAAGTATTTAGGCTGAAAGGATCAGCACTAAAACCTGACATATTATCAGGCGTTTTGCATGAGGAATCCATTGTTTAATATGAATTTTAAAAATAGAACACTCCAATTTCTATACTTTCTACTTCTGAAGCACTTCTAAAATGCTTGGCAGAAACCTCTAACCTTCCCAGTTCTGAAGACAGTGAAAAAACATGCCTTGTAATATTATCCACAGAAGTTATTGCATATACTTCCGTAAACTCACTCACATGACTGAATTGTACACACATACTTAAACATTTGTAAGGTCAAGCCCTAAATGCCCGAGCTATCTGCTTCAATGGGATAATGGAATTAATTCTTTTTTGCTCAGGGAATACGTGATAACAAAGAGTCATTTATCTACTTGCAATGCAGTTTCTTAATGCATTCTTTTCAGTGCTGTAGCACTAAATTTCATGAAGACTTAAAATAAAAAAATATTATTAGAGTCAGGTTATGGACAAACATGTGCAGTCTTGCTGAAGAGAATGTGTTTTGGACAGTGTACAAGACACTATTTGCCAGAGGAAAAATGAATAGTAACCTGACATTTCTGTTGTGGAAATAACTAACTTGAGAAATTAGCAACTTTCTAAGACTTGTGTAAGCAAATTCTGTGTTAGGAAGGTCCCCTGGAACTGGTGAGAAGAAATCTTCTCCTTGTCCCAAAGCCGCTGTGAAGCCCATACAGCCATTTTTGCAACTGTTTTATTCTTTGCATTGCAGAATATAAGGATCACTAGTGTGTACTACACCACTGTATGGATTACAGCAATATTTCATAGTTATATAGATCTATTGGAGGTATGCAGAAAAAGGAGAATAGGGCATTACTCAGTCTTTCACAGATAGTTAACAAAACATAGCTCTGGAAGAAGGAACAAGATGACACCAAAAGTCAGCCAGATAAGGGAGTACCCAAATAAGCCCGAAGAGAACAAAAA